TCCGTTCTTCAGAAGAAGTTGTTTAAAGGAAAAGTTGACGGACGGACGGAGGACGAGGACGGACGGACGGACAGACGGACGACGGACGGACGACGGACGCCGCGCCACGGCATAAGCTCACTTGGCACTTCGTGCCAGGTGAGCTAAAAATACAGCGGCCTCAAAATATGCACACGATTGTTATATTATCCAAATGTATAGAAATGGAGACGACTCTGAAATCGACGAGGTTTTCAGTTAGGGAGCTGGAGACTCAGTAGCGGAGGCCCTTATAGACGAGGATAATGCACCACCGACATCGCAGCAAGAGTCTGGAATCAGATCCGAATTACAGGATATATGTAATAATAAAATGTCAATGATATCAATGAACACAGTTTTACATTCTTTATCAGAACAAGTAAAACTATGGAAGACACCTTAAAAAGGCACGAAGGAGACCACAATGAACATAGAAACGAAATAAAGAGGTTATAACAATTAACATCGGAGAGATTTACGCGAAAATGAAGAGTTAAAACAAGATTTATACGAACTTGCAACGATCCTAAGGAATACCAATATGCCCGATAAGAGAACTTACGCGGGAGTTGTCGGCTCTCCTTCCCAAAACGCTAACCCGTCGGAACCCCTGGTGACATCGACACATATCCAGGTGAAAACTACACAGGTAAACAAAGCAGGTACCGAACACATTGGTAGCGATAGTCACATATATAGCGGACACAGGTAAACAAGGCACTCACGTGCGGGATAACGGTAAATGCGACAGTGCTATTCCTAAAGCTACGGAAACTCAAAGAGACCAGCAACAAACAGAAATATATTGCACAACAAACGATGATTCGAGAGTACGGCCGCGACGCGTAAAATTTGAAAATACAGGAGACACCATTGTGAAGGAAATGATAGAACACTGCTATGGTAATAAGGGTACTCATGAGACGGTTTCTACCACGACAGAATAAGGCTTTTAAAGAATTTGCTATATTTCCCCTATTGGGCCCTGACCCTCAGCCCCAAGGGGGGCCAGACCCACCATTTATACAAAATTGGTTCCCCTTCCCCCAAGGATGCTGCTGACCAAATATGGAACATATCCTTTCATTCCTACAGAAGAAGAAGGATTTTAGAGAATTTACTATATTTCCCCTATTGGGCCCCGCCCATCTGCCCCCATGGGGGCCAGACACACCGTTTATACAAAATTGGTTCCCCTCTACCTAAGAATGCTTCAGACTAAATTAGGATAAAATCCCTTAATCCCTACGTTAGAAGAAGGATTTTCAAGGTTTTACCTCTATTTCCCCTATGGGGCCCCGCCCCTCTGCCCCCAGGGGGGCCACACCCACCGTTTATACAAAATTGAGTCCCCTTGGCCTAAGGATACTCCAGACCAAATTTAGTCAAAACCTACTTGGCCGTTCAGGACGCTGCGGTATGGCATAAGCTCACCAGGTGAACTAAAAACAAGGAAGCTTAATTTCCTCAGAGTTCTAATATCCTTACCGATACATACTCAAGCTAAGCAAATTTTCATTAGGAGACTATACACGTTTGCATGTAAAGGAGAACTTTTCGAACATCGAGGTTTTATATCGGATATAACCAAAATATTACAACACTATCATCTGGAACAGCATTTATATTCATATTTAGAAACATGTACATTTCCTTCCAAAAGAGCGTGGAAAATTATAGTGAAAATGGCTGTACACTTAAAAGAAGACCGCGAACTTAAAAAGAGGATGGAGTCGGATATAGAGTTTTCTCGCTTCCGGGAAATTCATGCTACACACAAACATCCATATATTTTACTAAGTATGGCCTAGTCTGCAAATGATCTCAGCGCAGTCAAACTTGTGACAGCCATGGTCACATGTATACAACAGAGGACAACACGCATATGTGACAGGTGTGGACTGGAGTACCAAGATATGATTAGCCACATTGTTACGTCATGTACATTGACAAGGTTACTAAGAGATACATATTGGTACTTAGTTGAAAACAAATTTCCACTGACTGTGTTGGTGACATTATCAGGACTAGACAACGAAAACAAAGTTTGAATGTTCTTCGCTAAACCATACTACAAGGACTTCAACCTAACGGACACTAAAACAAAAGAGCTACTGTATCTTGGATTGCACTTGGTAACTATGTGTGGTCATCTATACGTCACAGGGCACAACAACGAAAATGACGATTAAGAAAAAATATAAACATATAACTAAACTGACGGTATACCGTGGACACAATACTCGTATAAGAATTGCATATTCTTTCTTACGATACATTAAGAATATATACGAAAAATGAGGTTAAATAAGGATAATTTCATGATTAGAAGAAGTACAACTTTAAATCCTTGAATGTATTTACATACATAATAATTTAACCATAACGAAATATCAATATAATTGTACAGTATTATACATTGATATATGCCAATTGATACATACGATGGAGTAAGTGTGTTAAACATGTATGCACATAGAACATATCAGTACTAAATGTACTAATTATTATTACCCTTCCTTATTATTTGATTTCGATGTAAATGTATCTCAGCTTTGAGGAAATAAACATGTGATGATGATGACTAAAACATTGAAATGTCCTGAAGTGAAATATTTACCTACAGGTACTAAAACTTTGAAATATTTACCTACAGGTACTAAAACATTGAAATATTTACCTACTGGTACGTATACTAAAACATTGAAATGTCTTGAAGTGAAATATTTACCTACAGGTACTAAAACATTGAAATATTTACCTATTGAAGTGACCTGCAGTTATTTTGGTTATTTAATTGACAAAGAAAAGAAATGTTGAATTTGATAACATCACCAGCTCCAGCGTGTAAATAAACGTGCTATTCTTATTACTGTAAATCCATTGTATTTATAAACAGACTGTATTTGAAATTAAATTTCTTAGCCTGTGTGACATCTCATAGAATCACAATCTGTCTGATGTACAGGATCTTGATGTTTGATGTCCAACATTCATGAGTCCTGATGTTTCAAAATTTTACACGTATATACTCATGCAAAGTTCGAAACATCAAAGTTTGACTGTAAATTTTCCAGCATCTAAAGTAGGTTTTGAGATGCACTACAGATAAGGCATCTATAGTATAAGTGCAGTTGATGGAAAACTTGTTGGTTTTGAAAAAAAACTAAAATAGTACAAATAAACAACGATGAGGAGGCTAGAAAAGAATTTTACTGAGCCAAGAAATGAAGGATACAGCATCTGACGCAACCAAAAAATAGCAACAAAAATCATACCTCTGAAGAAACAGAGCTAAACAGCCTTACCGGTCACCTGAGGTTGACAAATGACATACAAATGTAACATCATTTTTTGAAGACTTTGCACTCAACGACCCTTTATAGCTCCAGCCCCTCAGCCCCCTGGAGCATTAGTCCTATCTTGATTCTGATCCTACCAGAGGCTGATGATTACCTTCAAGTTTCACCAACATCTGACTGACGGTTTCTGAGAAAAAGTCGACAATATGATTGCTTATGCACGACAGAGTACGGAGAACGGAGGACGATGGATGAAAGGTGACCGCAACAGGTCATCTGAGTAACTCAGTGACCTAAAAACTGAACATCATTGATGAGGAAACTGACAAAGTTGTTAGAATGTATAAACTAGAACATACACAGCACCTTATGCTTGAAATAAGATGTACTGCCCTGGACGAATCTATATGGTTAAGTTTAGTAGGTGTAGGACTTTAACTGTTTGGGATACAACACATAACACACAGTTAAACACAAGAACTTGACACTGATGAGGATGCTTAAACAGCTACTGGACCAGAAAATGTATCTCATTCATAAATCTGATGCATGATTGCAATGACGAAAGCAAAAATGGAACTTTGGAGTGTGTAATAATGATACTCAAGATAGAAAAACATAGAAACTTAATGTTGATGTCACCAGAAAAGTGGCACCTATGTCTAGTACTAAACTGAGATAGAAACAGAGCTTAACTGTATAAACAAGCCATTCAGATTGATATGTCTCGCCTATGCCCCGCTTTGACCATCAATGCACATATCAGTTAAACTAGTTAAACGCAAAAACTTAATGTTGATGGAGATGCCAACAAATTCAATGGACCATGAAAGATGGAGGCCGCATCCAGCATTTGATTCGTGGGTTGAGATGTACTACCTAAGATGCATCTATGGTCCAAGTTTGGTTGGTGTAGCACTTATACTTTCAGAGAAACTAACTTAAACACAAAAACTTAATGTTGACGTCGACGTTGCCGGAAAAGCAACACCCTATAGTCACGCTTCCACTTCTTGGGGGTGAGACAAAAATTCTGAAGTTCTCAAATTGTAGCATGCTCTTTTTTTTGAATTGGCATATAATTACTTTGGAGAGAGCTAGGACATAAACTCATACTAACCTGGAGACCAGGTATACACATGCCATATAGAGGAATTAGATGATATTTTTAATGGATTATGTACAAATGAAGTTGTAAATGTCAATGGCCAATGACAGGCCAGGGTGGCCATCTGGAATTTTACAATCTGCATGAAAAGTGACAAACTTGGTCACAACCTCATAAGGAACACTTCCACCAAGTAAGAAGTCAATCTGTGTAGCCTTCCTTGAGAAGTCAAAAACATCTCAGTCAATGAGAGGTCAGGGTGACCATCTTTGATTTTCTGATTGGAACAAAAATTAAGAACACTTGTTTGGAACCTCATAAGAAACATTTGAACAAACTAGAGATGTCATCCTGAGGATAACTAATACCGTGCTCACAAGATAAAAGTTAACGCACAACGACAGACGAACACGGATGGCAATATATAGGTCATTAGGTTTTGGTCAGGTGACCTAAAAAAACCTCTACATTGATGCCACTGTCGTCCTCATTACATCCTTCAAAGACAAAAGAAAACCAGTGTGTTGTTCAGTTTGACCTCTAACCCTAAATGAAACATGGGAACTTACTTTTTGTTTTTTCATCTCTGAAAAATTCTTGCAGTATTATCTGGATGGTGCGCTAAAAAAGAAAACAGAATAACATGACAACCACTTTCCTGTCATTCTGATACATATAGGCCTAAATAACAGAATCAGTCATACTGGTAGTACATTGTATAGGCCTAAATAATAGAAAGTCATACTGGTAGAATAGGCCTAAATAACACAATCATACTGGTAGTATAGGCCTAAATAATACAAACAGTCAAACTGGTAGTTTAGGCCTAAATAATACAAACAGTCATACTGGTAGTATAGGCCTAAATAATACAAACAGTCATACTGGTAGTATAGGCCTAAATAATAGAAACAGTCATACTGGTAGTATAAGCCTAAATAACAAAATCAGTCATACTGGTAGTACATTGTATAGGCCTAAATAATAGAAAGTCATACTGGTAGAATAGGCCTAAATAACAGAATCATACTGGTAGTATAGGCCTAAATAATACAAACAGTCAAACTGGTAGTTTAGGCCTAAATAATACAAACAGTCATACTGGTAGTATAAGCCTAAATAACAAAATCAGTCATACTGGTAGTACATTGTATAGGCCTAAATAATAGAAAGTCATACTGGTAGAATAGGCCTAAATAACAGAATCATACTGGTAGTATAGGCCTAAGTAATACAAACAGTCAAACTGGTAGTTTAGGCCTAAATAATAGAAACAGTCAAACTGGTAATATAGGTCAAATAATACAAACAGTCATACTGGTAATATATGCCTAAATAATACAAACAATCATACTGGTAGTATAGGTCTAAATAATAGTGGTAATATATGCCTAAAAGATACAAACAGTCATACTGGTAGAATAGGCCTAAATAATACAAACAATCATACTGGTAATATATGCCTAAAAAATACAAACAGTCATACTGGTAATATAGGCCTAAATAATACAAACAGTCATACTGGTAATATATGCCTAAAAGATACAAACAGTCATACTGGAAGTATATAGCCCTAACTAATACAAACAGTCATATTGGTAATATAGGCCTAAAGAATACAAACAGTCATACTGGAAGTATATAGCCCTAACTAATACAAACAGTCATATTGGTAATATAGGCCTAAATAAAAAAAACAGTTCAATTGATAGCAAAGGCCTAAATAATACAAAGAGTCATACTGGTAGTATAGGCCTAAATAACAGAAACAGTCATACTGGTAGTATAGGCCTAAATAAAATAAAAACCAGTCATACTGGTAGTATAGGCCTGATTAATACAAACAGTCATATTGGTAGTATAGGCCCAAATAATAGAAACAGTCATACTGGTAGTATAGGCCTAATAACAGAAACAGTCATACTGGTAGTTTAGGCCTAAATAATACAAACAATCATACTGGAAGTATTGGCATAAATAACAGAAACAATCATAATGGTACATTTGGTATAGGCCTAAATCATACAAAGAGTCATACTGGTAGTATATAGGCCTAAATAATAGAAACAGACATACTGGTAGTATAGGCCTAATAACAGAAACAGTCATACTGGGAGTATAGGCCTAAATAAAATAAAAACCAGTCATACTGGTAGTATAGGCCAAAATAATACAAACAGTCATACTGGAAGTATTGGCCTAAATAACATAAACAATCATAATGGTACATTTGGTATAGGAGAAACAGTCATATTGATAGTATATGCCTAAATAATACAAACAATCATACTGGAAGTATTGGCATAAATAACAGAAACAATCATAATGGTAATTTAGGCCTAAATAATGTACATTTGGTATAGGCCTAAATCATACAAAGAGTCATACTGGTAGTATATAGGCCTTAATAATACAAACAGTCATACTTTTAGTATAGCCTAAATTATACAAACAGTCATACCGGTAGTATAGGCCTAAATAAAATAAAAACCAGTCATACTGGTAGTATAGGTCTAAATAATAGTAACTAACGGTCATACTGGTAGTATAGGCCGAAATAATAGAAACAGTCATACTGTTAGTATATAGGCCTCAATAATACAAACAGTCATACTTGTTGTATAGCCTAAATTATACAAACAGTCATACTGGTAGTATATAGCCCTAAATAATACAAACAGGCATACTTGTAGTATAGCCTAAATTATACAAACAGTCATACCGGTAGTATAGGCCTAAATAAAATAAAAACAGTCATACTTGTAGTATAGCCCAAATTATACAAACAGTCATATTGGTAGCATAGGCCCAAATAATAGAAACAGACATACTGGTAGTATAGGACTGGTAGTACATTGTATAGGCCTAAATAATAGAAAGTCATACTGGTAGAATAGGGCTAAATGACAGAAACAATCATACTGGTAGTATAGTCCTAAATAATAGAAACAGTCAAACTAATAGTATAGGCCTAAATAATAGAAACAGTCAAACTGGTAATATCGGCCTAAATAATACAAACAGTCAAACTGGTAGTATAGGCCTAAATAGTACAAACAGTCATAGTGGTAGTATAGGCCTAAATAATAGGTAGTATAGGCCTAAATATAAAAAAAACAGTCATACTGGTAGTATAGGCCCAAATAATAGAAACAGTCATACTGGTAGTATATAGCCCTAAATAATACAAACAGTCATAATGGTAGTATAGGCCTAAATAATACAGTCATACTGGTAGTATATAGGCCTTAATAATACAAACAGTCATACTGGAAGTATTGGCCTAAATAACATAAACAATCATAATGGTACATTTGGTATAGGAGAAACAGTCATATTGATAGTATATGCCTAAATAATACAAACAATCATACTGGTAATATATGCCTAAAAAATACAAACAGTCATACTTGTAGAATAGGCCTAAATAATACAAACAATCATACTGGAAGTATTGGCATAAATAACAGAAACAATCATAATGGTAATTTAGGCCTAAATAATGTACATTTGGTATAGGCCTAAATAATACAAAGAGTCATACTGGTAGAATAGGCCTAATTAATACAAACAGCCACATTGGTACTATAGGCCCAAATAATACCAACAGTCATACTGGTAGTATAGGCCCAAATAATAGAAAAAGTCATACTGGTAGTATAGGCCTGATTAATACAAACAGGCATATTGGTAGTATAGGCCCAAATAATAGAAACAGTCATACTGTTAGTATAGGCCTAAATAACAGAAACAGTCATACTGGGAGTATAGGCCTAAATAAAATAAAAACAGACATACTTGTAGTATAGTCCTAATTAATACAAACAGTCATATCGGTAGTATAGGCCCAAATAATACAAACAGTCAAACTGGTTGTTTAGGCCTAAATAATAGAAACAGTCAAACTAATAGTATAGGCCTAAATAACATACTGGTAGTATATAGCCCTAAATACTACAAACAGTCATACTTGTAGTATCGCCTAAATTATACAAACAGTCATACTGGTAGTATAGGACTAAATAACAGAAACAGTCATACTGGTGGTATATAGGCCTCAATAATACAAACAGTCATACTTGTTGTATAGCCTAAATTATACAAACAGTCATACCGGTAGTATAGGCCTAAATAAAATAAAAACAGTCATACTTGTAGTATAGGCATAAATAACAGAAACAGTCATACTGGTAGTATATAGGCCTCAATAATACAAACAGTCATACTTGTAGTATAGCCTAAATTATACAAACAGTCAAACTGGTAATATAGGCCTAAAGAATTAGGCCTAAATAAAATAAAAACAGTCATACTTTAATACAAACAGTCAAACTGGTAGTATAGGCCTAAATAATACAAACAGTCATACTGGTAGTATAGGCATAAATAACAGAAACAGTCATACTGGTAGTATATAGGCCTAAATAATACAAACAGTCATACTTGTATCATAGCCTAAATATTACAAACAGTCATACTGGTAGTATAGGGCTAAATAACAGAAACAGTCATACTGATACATGTAGTATAGGCCCAAATAATACAAACAGTCAAACTGGTAGTATAGGACTACATAATAGAAACAGTCATACTGGTAGTATAGGCCTAAATAAAACAAAAACAGTCATACTGGTAGTATAGGCCTAATTAATAGAAACAGTCATATTGGTAGTATAGGCCAAAATAATACNATATGCCTAAATAATACAAACAATCATACTGGAAGTATTGGCATAAATAACAGAAACAATCATAATGGTACATTTGGTATAGGCCTAAATAATACAAAGAGTCATACTGGTAGTATATAGGCCTAAATAATACAAACAGTCATACTGGTAGCATAGGCCTAAATAAAATAAAACAGTCATACTGGTAGTATATAGGCCTAAATAATACAAACAGTCATACTGGTAGTATAGGCCAAAATAATACAAACAGTCATACTGGTAGTACAGGCCTAAATAATACAAACAGTCAAACTGGTAGTATAGGCCTAAATAGTACAAACATTCATAGTGGTAGTATGGGCCTAAATAATACAAACAGTCATACTGGTAGTGTAGGCCTAAAT